CAGATTTTTCCTCAGTTCAGCAAATTTGGCCTGGCCGACTCATTCTTGATTTCTGATAGTGGATCGTGGGCGGATGGAAAACGGCTGGAAGCAAGTAGGTAAGGTTCCGAAGCGCTCACGCTCAAAATCAAAATTTTGCCCTTCGTGGGAAGCTTCGCTTCGCGTCAAGTCACGTGTTGACCGTGATCGGCGCGCGCCCGCATGTGGAACTCTCGCGCGCCCTGATCTCACACACATCTTGTTCAAGAATTCATGATCGACGCAAACCGCTGCGTGGCTCCCTCAACTCAACAGACCACCCCATCCGCTCATCGCCGGAGAGCCTCCACGCACGACCAATCGGTAGAATCTTTCGCAAGTAAATCGCCACTGACATCTTCACAGCAGCACGCCACAGTCACCATGAGGTGAGACTGAGGTTCAGTTGCGCTGAGCAAGCGCTCCTTGCTCGAATCGTATGGCGATGCGAAGCTGACGCATTCCTCTTCTTCCCTCATCGCTCCTCCTTGGGATCGGCGTTTCCACCACGCAGTCAATACCTCAACACGCCCAAATCGGAGCTGGACGAAGCTCAAATCCGAGCGTTGGAAGAGTACGAGACCTCTCAAGGACCCTTGTCGGTCTTGCAACAGAGCGTGAGGAACAATACTCAGATCTTGATAAGCTTGAGGAACAATAGGAAGTTGTTGGCTAGGGTGAAGGCATTTGATAGGCATAGCAACATGGTGTTGGAGAATGTAAAGGAGGTGAGTTCGCATTCGAGCGCTTCGGCTACTAAGAGCCGGAATGCATGGGCGACACGCTTCTTGGGCGTGCCGTCAGCAAGGATCGCAGCAACTGGGCGTACGTGCTTTCTGCAAATTGTGGCGACGGACTGCCTCTTGTATACGCTCCAATGCTGTCTCAGGTAGCACTTTGGCGCAGATCAGGTGCTGTATGCGTTGCGTGTGATCGGAGCAGGTCGAAACTCGACACGAGCAGTGATGCAAGCGGTAGAGCCGCGGAGGTCGTGCCAAGCCAGCTGGCGATCCCTGAAGCACACATTTTCTGTCGAAAGGAGGGAAAAGCGCGGTGCCTCGTCACGCCTCGAAGTGCAGATCGCAAGGCCTCGCTTTCCACCGCGACTTGCTATGCTTCGGCCGTTCATCTTTGCTGACATGCTGACCACTCGCACCGCCTCCCCGCGCCCAGATGTGGACAGAGATTCCAAAGTCCAAAAACAAGAAACCCATCAACGTGAGTTGCAGACGACATCGAACAGCCCACGCCTCTGAGCCTGATCATCCGCCCCGAGATGCATGCTGATCACTTCTGATTGATCCGTGCTTGTTCTTGCAGAAGGACCGCTTCCTCTCCAAGGTCTTTTTGCGTGGTGATTCAGTAGTGCTCGGTGAGTCAAAGGATGATGCTTGCGCGGAATCCTCCCGACCTTTCCTCCAGGCTGACTGCTTGTCGTCGTCGTCGTCTCCTTGTAGTGCTGCGCAACAGCGGATGAGCATTTTGCAGACCAAGAAGCTCGACCTCTCCCTCCAGTCTCTGTTCATGTCACCCACACATCTCGGCTGAAAATCAGATCAGGTGCACATCACGGTTGCTTGGCGCGAAAAATAATTCACAAGTCTACTCGGGTCCCGGGTCCCAATGCTCGCGACCACAGACTGGGCGCAAGCCGACTTGCGTCGATCGAAGGTAGATAGTATCAAAAGTACAGGTAGTATAGCTGCGTATCTTGGAAAGATCAGAATGTAGGGAATAGGGCATGCACCGAGCGAGCATGACTGGAAGAGATGTGCACAAAGTTTCCTGCGCACGAGCGACGTGATGCCCTCAAGAAGTGTCCTGCGCACCAGCGCCCTTGAGCGCATCGTGAAGGTTGCCAACGTTGACACGACGTTTCTGAGTGCCTGCCAGCTCTTGTTGCTTTAAGCGTCTGCCCAAGCGAGTCCCAGGTGCAAGGCGTGAGAAAGAGGTGTACGCACTGCTGAAAGAGCAGCCCACACGCTGTAAAGTACTCACTTCATCTCGGCTTCTAGCTCGCTGACGCGTTCCTTGGCTCCTTGACGTTCGCTCTTGAGCCTCTCTTCCAGCTTCTTGTACCTCATCTTGAGCTCCTTGATTTGAGCCGACGAGTTGCCCTGATCCTCTGCGGATTTCTTCTTCTCCTCCACCAGCCGTTCGTTGCACTGATGCAGGTCGTCCTGAGCCTTTTTCAGCTTCCTCTCCGCAATCATGGCTCTAGAGGTCAGATCCGACATTTTGCTGTTCTCGCCCGTCGAAGCCAAATTGGATCGGGTCTTGAAGGAAGTCAATTGCGTCTGAAGCTCGGCGGCGGTCGTTTTGGCCAAGTCCAGCTCGGATTGCTTGGCCACCATGCGAGCTCTCCACGCGTTCGACTTGTCGCTTGCCGTCTTGATGGAAACTTCGCATCGATCCAATTGCCTAAACTTGCTGTCCTGTTGACGTTTCAGCGCACTAAACTGCTCCGTAAACTTGCCCTCGATCGTCTTGACGCGTTCAGCAAACGATCCTTGAATGTCCGAAAGGCGATGCATGCGCGTCGTCAAATTGTCGTGGAAGATTGCAAAGTTGGTGAAAGGCTTGCTGTCATTTGCGCCGCTCTTGCGCGGGCCGCTCGCACCGCCGAGCCTGTCAGCGCTGAGGATCTTGCCCATGAACTGGTACACGTTCAGCAAAAGAGTGTTGCGCTCGGTGAGCTGGTTGCGTATTTGCTGTTGATCTTGCATCATGGAACGTTCGCCGTCATTGAGCTCCTCTTCGAGCTGAGTAACCTTGACTCGAGCATCGTCTAGCTCCGCTTGGATCGCAGCGATCGCGCGTTCCTTGCTCTCCAGCTTCTCGTCCAGGCTCGACTTGCCGCTGCTCTCCTTCGCAACCCTATCGTTGAGCGTTCTGATATCAGCGTGCAGTTGAGACAGCTGCGCCTCCTTGTCTCTCAGAGCATCTTCTTTGCGGTCCAAATCTTTGCGAGAGCGTTCCAGATCGGATTCGCAGTTGGTCAAGTCTCTCTTGAGGCGGTCAATTTCTAGCTCCAGAGAGTGTCGATCCGTCGAGTGAGTCTTGCCGAGACGGTCGCTCTCCATCTCCTTGTTACGCAATACGCTCTGCAAGGTCTGGAGATCCGCCTTGCACGTCTGCAATGCCTTCTTGGATGACTCAAGCTCAGCTTCGATTGAGGAGATGTCCGCTTCCTTCTCGTCTACCAAACGACGATGTTGATCTTGAAGGTCTTCCATTGCGTTGGCGTGTTTCTGAGCTTCGTCTTCGCGTTCTTGCTCCTCAGTGCGCAGATCGGAAAGCATGTCCTCCAGCTTGGCGTGCAGCTTCGCAGTCTCTTCACGAAGATCATCGCGCTCTTCTTCGAGTTGCTCCACCCTATGTGACAAGGCAGCTCTCACTTCCGCTCCATTGGTCATATCGTGCTGCGTGGTATCAGCTTGAGCTTGGAGCGCCTCGATCTGTCTATCGCGATCCTCCAAACGCTCTCTGAGTGCTTGAATCTTTCTGACGTAGCGATCGCGCTCTTCGCCAAAGTTTTGCAACAGCTCATCCGTGTCGTGACGTGCTTCGTCAAGATCCGCATTGAGGCGCTCAATTCTTTCCTCGGCATTGCTCAGGCGCCCTGCAGCCTCGCTCAATTCTACGTCGGACTGCTGGAGCTGATGGGTCTTTTCCTCGAGGTAGCTCTCTGCAGCTTGCCGAGCAGACTCGGTGTTGTTCAGCTGGGTCTCTTTGGTCGCAAGGAGACTCTCAAGCTCTGATTTCTCTCGAAGCAGCTCGTCCAGCTCCGCTTCGGATTCCGCCAACGCTTTGGCGGTGTTCTGGTTTTCAAGTTCAAGGTGCTCGATGCGCTCCAGCTGCTCATCCATCCGATGCTCGTAGTCGTCAAGCGTTGCTTCGAGCTCCTCGACGCGCACCTTCTCCGCATTGCCCTCGTCCCTGAGCGCATTGATATCGGCTTCATACTGGATTCTCAAGGCTTGCGTGGCTGCCCCAACTTCGTCGACAATCTGCTGCTGATGGTGCTGCTCATCCGCACCGCGCTCATCGACCACGTCGGCCAAGCGTCGCTGCACCTGGTCAAGCTCGCGTTGAAGCTCGCCCTCAATCTTTGCCAAGTCAGCATTTTCCGCGTCGAGGTCATCGACTCGCCCTTCTAAATCGCTATTCTTCGCTTGCAGCTGATCAAGCTCCATAGTCAACGCCTTGTTCTCGGCTTGCAGCGCATCCAGCTGCTCTCTGATTTCTTCGAGCTCGGCATCGGTTCTGCCATGCGTCTCTGCACGCTCTTGGAGCTGCTCAATCTGGTCTTCGAGATCGGCAATTTCTTGCTGGCGAGTGTATAATTCGCTCTGATGATCCTGCCTCTCCGCTTCCAGATCCGCTTTTGCTTCCTATAGTGTGGCGAGGCGCAATGAGTAGATGAGTCGGCGTCTCGCTCTGGGCGCACATCGGCTACTGCTCACCTCGGATTGGTTGCGGACGTCTGCAAGCTCCTCTTCCAGCGCTTCGCGAGCTGAGCGATGCTCTTCAGCCTCAGCCTGAGCTCGTTGCGCTTCGGCTCTGAGAGCAACAGGGTCTTCCTTGCCGATGCGCCTTTGGAGCTTCTTGTATGCGGCCAATTCCGGTCCCGCTTCCCGAATGAATTGATCCTGCTTCGCGAGACGGGCTTGCAACCTTCGGTGCTCCTGAGTGATGGAGACCAGTTGTTGCATGACATCATTGTCCGAATGCTTGTAACGCTGCCTGAGAAGATCCACCTCGATTTTCAAGTCGTTGTTCTCCTTTGTCAATTGATCGTTGCGCTCTGTGGCTACCTTCATGCTCAGACCCGCTGCTCGGCGAGCTTTCTCTGCCTGTGCCTCGGTCAATCCGATCGCAGACTCTTCAAGGCTCGTGCCATTTGCGAGCGACGTCTCGTTGGCTCGCGATAAATCTTGCTGAGCGCGAATGAAGTCTGCATCGCTGTCCTCCAGAATGCCAGTATCGTCCACCTCGCCATAAGGCGCCACCGAGTCCTCACCATCCACGATCCTGATGCCTTGCAATTTGCGCGGATCCTGCTTGCGATCTGTGGCGGGTACCTCTGCGCGCGATTTGTGGGCGCGCTTGTCGATGGCAGCTTGAGGCGTCGAAGGCTCGGTAGCTGAATCGTTGCGAAGCGGCACTCTGGAAGCCTTGACATTGGAACCAGAAGCTGTTCTCGCGCCCGCAACAGGCTTTCCGATCGCAGATGGAGCATTAGTGGGTACATTGGATTTGCGTGGCGAGAGCGGCCGAGGTGCAGAAGAGCTTGGCTTACTGCGAGCAGCAGGAGCAATGCTCGAGTCGTCGGTCGTGTCGAGCCCTGCCATGGTCAGCCCTCCTGGCCCAGTCCTGTTGTAATCCGTCGCTACCGTCTCATCCCCAGCGTAGCCAGCCAGTGCAGCGAAGCGATCGCCCATTCGTTGAGCGCTGAAGCCTCAGCTACGGCGTCCGACGTGATGCTTCTCAGCACAGAGAGAGAGGAGACCAGCTTGTATTGTGTAGTGCTTTGCAGCAATCAATGATGGCTTGTATGCGTGGCTGCTAGCTTTTGCATTGCGATTGTGATGATGAGCGTGTTGGAGCAGAGTGAGGGTGCCAGCTGAGCGGTTGAACGAAGCCGTATTCAGCAGCAGAAATGGTGTTAAAGACGTGTCAGTACCTGTCCCGCCCGAGAGCGCACACTCAGCGGATTGTGCAGAAAGGGAGGACAGACGGTACAGATGGCTGATGCTTCATGCCTTCATGACGATGAGGTTGTGATCCATGCCGCTGCTCGCGCTGCTCCGCTTTGTTGTGGAGCAAGTCAACTTCGAATCATGCAAGTCGTGACTCGTGAGCTCGCGCGACGCTCCTCATCACCAGCAGCATCGACAGCTTAATTGGGACATAAACACCAACACCCGCGCCGGCGCGCGTGACTCGTGACTATTCACGACTTTTGCGGAGAGAGACGAAGGGCGCGCGGTGGCGACGCGTGTCTCTAGAATATTCTGAGCCATCCTTCTTCATGCTGCCAGTCACGAGTCACGAGTCGTGGCGCGGGTTGATTGCGAGTTGCGCTCAACGACGCGCCCGCCAAGTTCAACGGTTCGTTCGAAGCGCATGCATCGCGGGCCGCCGAGCAACATCCAACGCCTCCCCATCTTCCCTTCGACCATCAGCACAACACTCGTGACTATCCAAGCAGATGACCTGAACTTTCACCTTTGAGCGGACTCAACGCCTCGGAAATCAATGCGTCACCCGTTCAGATCTTGCCGTGCATCAGAGTAGACCGCAAGCCGTAGGCTTGTCGAGGATGCCGCATCTTCTCGTACCGTCCGGGCTTGGGTAGCGGTCATGCTGCATGGATTCGTGATCTTGTCATGGAGGGCGAACCGCTCAGGAGGGCCTCGGTGGATGCTGATGAGCCGTCTCAGATGCTCAGCATGGCCACGCCCCCTGCCACTCGTATGCCTTGGTGGGTGACGGCGAGCACCAGCCCTTCGCCTCTTTCAAGATTTCTCGGTTTCCACTATCACGCTCACCACACCACCCTGACAGACTTTTGATCGAGGTGATGAAGCGTGACTTCACAGCTCTCGACGCTCATCAATCTCTGCCCCAGCACGCCAAATCTTCCCACCTCAGCTAATCTCAGGGATGCCGCCTCGAGAGCCCCAATTGGAGGCGCGTCAGGGTCACAGCACCTCGCTTTCGCCTCGACTCGCGCACTTGTCACCTCGCACGCCGCAGAGTGAAGGTCCGTTTACGTCTCAGCGCGGTTCGAGCTCTGCAGCTTCGTCTGCTGGAAGGCAGAGCAATAGGAGCGTGTCGTCCTCGATTCGTGGGAGCGGTGGTAGTGCTCGATCCGTCCCTAACACCACGACGATGCGTAAAAGAGTGCCATCTGGAGTGCCGGCTAGATCTTTCGAGAGTCCTGCCTCACCTGCCACGAGCAGCGTGATAAACGCGGACGAGCGCATACTACCCCCTGTACCAACTGCCGACTCCAGCAACTCTTCATCCGACAAAGATTGGAAAGAACGCCTCCGCAAAGCGGGAAGCATCGATAGCTTCAAGACCAAGCGCAACCCTGCACCCGCCACCACCATTTCCAGCCTACCCGGCTTCTCAGATGCCATCGATGCTGCCAAAAGAAGACCAAGCAACATCGGGATGGATACTGCCAGAGCATTTGGCAGCCGGGTCAGGAGCTTTGCTCTCGGAATAACCGCCACGGCAACGACTGCCAACTCCGACACGGAAGGCCATGCGCCGATTGTTGCTTCGTCAGCAGATCAGCGCGCCACGCAGAAGATCACCACGGGTAGCGCTATGTCGAGCTGGTTCAAGGGTAGATCCGTCGGTGCCGGTGTCGACACGAACGAAGCAAACACCAAAGGCAAGGGGCTAATGAGCTCGCCCAGACCATCAGAGCTGCTACCTCCAATCGATCTGCCCTTGCAGGCGCAGCACTCTGTTCCTTATCAGCGCAGCACGAGCGAACCACGGAAAGCCTTTGTGGAGGATGCTGACTCGGAGGATGAAATGGATCCTGGCCAGACCATTCGAGTCGTCCACGCAGGCAACATCATCCTCGAACAGTCTGGCATCGCTTCATCCCCTAATTCCTTGACCAGTGCTCTGGACATGTGGTCACCGCCGCTTTCCTCCATCAGGGCAGCAACTCAGCGCTTCGAAGAGCAAGGCATCTACGAGACTACATCACCGGACAAAGAGCAGAACGTCAGCTCGAATGCAGGACGCTTCAAGATGGAAGCACCTAGCGTCAAGCATTACTCCCTAAATCCAACGCATTTGCAACGTGGAGAAGAGAGTAGACCTGGCTCGACATTGTCGCCTCAGCGTCAAAACGCTACAAGCACTCTGAGAAGTCGCCCGTTCTCGATCTCCTTTGCTTCTGCGCCTGACATGGAAAGGACCGGCACGGGCGCGTCGAGCAATTCGACTGCGTCCTACAATTCTCTTCTCTTGCCAAACAGTGCAAGCTCAGCGTTGGCTGATCTGGGCGAATCCCTGAGATGGAGCCAAAAGTTTCCAGAAGGAGCTCATATGAGTCGAGCGCGAAGCAGTCGACTCAGTGTGGGCGCTATGGGTGGCTCATCTGCGCCGAACGGCCAAGCTAGACGAAATTCAGCTTGGAGCTTTGCACACCCTGGAGGCATCAAATCGAATGAGGATGAGAGGGAAAAGACCATCGACTGGTCTGGCGGTCATAGCTGGCGTCAAGACTCAGATCTGGGCGTGACGCCCTTGGAACATGTTCATGAGATTGACGCAGATGTATATCGTACGCGTGTACTCCGTGATGGACCACACGGTGAGAGAAGACACCACCGCACGCTTAGCACAAAGTCCAAGCTCTCGGAAACTAGGAACGGGCTGCGTTTCTTGTCGGCCAAGCGCGAAGATCATGATTATGATGGGGACTCAAGCTGGGATGCGCCAGTCAAGAATTCTAGCGCCACTAGTGATACTGGCAGAGATGCAGGCATTGGACAACCTTTGTGTCAATCTGAGGAGAGAGTGGCCAAGTGGAACCGCTTCAAGTGGATCTTGTTCGTCAGCGTCATAGTGCTTTTCATCTACGGCATGGCTGGCTTGGTCGGTTCTCTACTGACTTGGGCTCGGACTTGGGAAAGGGCAGATGTGACAGCAGTAGTCGACGCCGACATTCTCATCTTTTTGACTCTGGCTTCCATGCTCTGCGTCCTCACCTCCGTCGTTGGCATCAGCGGCACGATTCTTAATTCTCGACCCATTCTATCTCTCTACGCTTTCCTCCTCTGGCCAACGCTCCTCTCCATTCTGGTCGTCGGATACGCATCCTACAAGAGGGAGAACCTGAGGTTGGACAGGAAACTAAACATGGCTTGGAGTCGTTACTTTGACGATCTGGATCGACTCAGGTTGCAAAATAATCTGCACTGCTGCGGGTATTATACGCCTCTGCATCAAGCCACCTTTTCCCGCAATTGCTACCCGCGAACCTCCCTGCCGGGGTGCAAAGGCAAGCTCTACCGTTACGAAAAGGCGGCTCTCAAACGACTCTACACCATCATCTTCAGCATCGTCTTTGTACATCTTGCAAACATTGCCGCTTCTTTGCTATGTTCCAATCACGTCAATGCAAGTTTCGGCAAAGGTCTTACGCCTAGAGCTTATCGACTGGACATGACTCACGTCCGACGAAATGCCATCAACATCATCCGCGCGCTCAAGATGAGCGAAGAACGCGCTCACATCGAGGAACTGCATCATCGCGAGGCGGGTGCGACTCACGAAAAGCGGCACATGGCAGAAGAAGGGGCAAACTTATCGCTCGCATCTATCGACCTTAATGCTCCGCCTGTGGGAGGCGACGATGAACGACCATCAGAGATTGATATCATGCGCCTCCAGCGGAACCGGGGTCTTCTAGCTCGAGCGCTTCAAGTGCCTTATTACTCTGAGAGGCCTGTTGTACCCCCCAAAAGCCCTGCGAGAGGCGCGACCTCGTACGCGTTCCATGGACCCCAGGCTGCCTTGTCACATGAGGACGCCGCTGCGCAGGACCCTTCCAAGGATGTTAGGGGTCTCGGATTCACCATGAGCTTGGAAAGACATCAGGCTAGGTTGATGCAGGAGCAGCTGCTAGCGAGGCAAATCTAGCCTCCTGCTCCTCTGGGGCCGGATGGTCTGCCTCAGACAAAATACGCTCTTTTTGCCTCTTTCACTAGACTCGCCCACTCGTTCCGACTTACACTTGGATCCTATCTACATACGTCGAGTCGGCTTTTGACCTTCTACACTACTACACGTGTCTTTGAGATGTGGTGCCCGCCGCTTGGAAATCGAAACGCTCTTTGCTGATGGGAAGATCCACGCGTCGTGTGTATGCTTGCGCAATCCCTTTGGCTTGTGCGCACAGACGTGTAATTGTCCAGCCTGCCCGGTTGGCAGCCCAAATTGTGTGGCGAAGGTGGAGAGAGCGCACGATCATTGTCAAGTCCGCTGTGATGGAAAAGCCCAAGTTTGTTGCCGTAGAGGCTGTCAAGCGCTAACGAGAATTGATAGCGAAAGGCTCAAAGTCACGAGTAATGGTCACAGCAGGACGGGCCATGGCGTCGTCCGTAGCGCGTGCGGTCACAAGTGAGGGAAGCGCACGCGCCACAGCGACTCGTGACTGCCCATGCACCGCCGGCGAGTAAGGTCGTGCGCTGCAGCAGCCTACACAGCCTGCTGCAGGGAGCCAAGGAGTTGGTGAGGTAACCCCACCGGAAAGCACCATGTGACCTGAGTCGGCCGAGGCCCAACATTACGTTGCTCTTACCACGACCTTCTCGTCCTCACATTTGTGATCATCGGCTGTGCGAAAGCCGTTCGGCGCCAGTCGTGCCCTCTGAAACAGCACGTCCACCTTGGCGACCACAGAGTGATCGCCTCACGACCTTCTTGCTCGCACTCACACCGAGAGCCCCCCATCATTGAGCGCATACAAATAGCAGCAGACTTTTGCAAACGGCCTATCTCTCCCACTCAAAACCTCCCACGACTACTTCACTTCACATTCCACACTTTCGTATGCTGACTCAAAAGACTCTTGTGGTCTATATGCATCACTGAGTTCGCATTCCGCCCGCTTCAACGGTCGCAAGCATGAGCACCTTGGCTCCGCCTCAATCGGCTGGAATCCCGTCCACGAAGGAGGGCTTCACAGCAGCTCTCAAGGCCAGAAATCCGAATAATCAGTACATTGCCCACTTGAAAATATGGGAAACTGTCGGTGAGGAGGGGGCTGGAGGCGGCGGTGGTGCGGGGGGCTCGAGGAAAGCAAGGTACATCATTTTGGCAGCTGCGAGAGGAACCGGCGTGGTGACGCTTAACAAAGCCAAGAGGAACATGAATGGCAGTTTTAGCATCGGCAAGGATTGGGACATCAATACTTTGAGAGAGATCACGGTGCACTCTGTGAGTAGATGGCAGAGAGATGCGGCGCGCTGCCTTGTCCGATTAGCAACGTGCAACGCCTGTCTATGTTGGCTCACCCTCTTCACATTCTCTGCCTCAGCCCGACACATTCACCTTGACATTGTCCCGACCAAACCAATGGCAGACTGACAGGCCCAAGGAGCAAAAGGTGTTTCTTCAGTCGCTCGTCAAGATCTGGCGCAAGTACATGAACGATCCTCATGGCCCGCCATGTTCCGGCTTAGAGTTTCCTCCTGAGATGACGCCTTCCATCCAGCCTTCGACCATTAGCTTGGCACCTCCCGGCGTGCCACCTGTGCCATTGATCCCCGCGAGCGTAGCTGCACCAGCACCCGCAGCATCACTTCCGGTCGCTGCCGTCCAGTCTTCGCAGGCACCCAGTCTGGCGCTGAACACGAATGTTCACAGGGAGCGTTCCAGAGAGTCTCCAACTGCATCCAGATCACCGGCCAGGACGCCGACAGCCGATGGCTTCTACGATCCGAGATCGAGAGAGGTCCGAGATACAAGGCCAGGCTCCTCCAATAGCGTTGCCGCCACCGGCAACGTCTCCAGCGAGGCTCCACGCAGGCCTAATCCTCTAAGGCGTCCGACCATCACAAGAACTGACAGCATGCGTAGCGGAGATAGGTCAGACGGGTCGACATCGGTACCTGCTATCAAGCTGTCCGACCCTTCGAGTAGACTGGGCACTCCGACCAACGCTCTACCCAGCGACATTAATCGCAACGCCAATCGCAGTCCAGCCCCTCGGCAGCCAAGTCCCTTGGCTCATCTTCAGCCGCGCGATGCTCACTCTGAAACGAGGAAGGCATCAGTCACCGGCACCCTCGAGTCGACTGTCAGCCAGACTGCCCGCGCCGATGTATCTCATTCAACTTCGACGTCGCTGCTCAGAAAGGCTGCCTCCAACGACGAGCAGGTTGGCCCCAATGGTACAGACGCAACAGAGCAAAAAGCCCCCTCATCGTCTCCTCCTCGTTCCCGGCCTAGGCCCATCCAGCAACGCAGCACGTCTGGCTCATCTCTGTCTGGAGGTGGTGATGCTCGAGCGCGTCTTAGCGCAGTCGAGCCGGTACGTGGTGGTGCAGCATATGAGAGGATGCTATTGGCTGGCACCGGCTTGCGGGAAGTCGCAGAAGGTGACGAAGAACAGGAAGAAGAGCTGGAGGATGCTTATGGTGGTGCGGAAGTAGAGGATGTGGATGCGTCTCCTTTCAAACCTCCTCCAAGGAAGAAGAAAAACAACTCCATCAAAAGAGCGCAGGCGGCTCGAGCTGAAGCTGATGACAGATCAGTGTCTGTCGTTGGTGGCGGAGGCGAAGAAGAGGAAGAAGATACCACATTGCTGAACGTTGAGGAGATGCTAGAGGGATTCGAGTGGAAGCACACGAATGCGACGGTAATTGGCGGAAGATCGATGCTGGATCCCACGCATGCTGGGGCGCTGAGACAAGGAGCGCCAGGCAAGGGTACGGCAGATGTCATCGAGGCTCGCTTGCTTGACGAGCTGGCCGCGCTTGATGCTGCGAACATTCACGCCATCATTGAATCCGACGATCGTGTCAACCTCGTCGTTCAGCACATGGAAGAAGCACTGGGTCAGCTCGACATGATCGACAGCATGATCGCTGGCTTCAAGGTACAGCTCAATGCACGGACGGATGATATATCGCACATCGAGTCCCAAAACCGCGGTTTGCAAGTTCACACTTCCAATCAGCGCCAGCTGGCAAACGAGATTGAAAAACTGCTTTCCACTGTTCACGTGGATGACGATGCTGTCGCCGCGCTCATGTATGCCGGATTACAGGATGATGCTGGTATAGCAGACGCGGAACGAGCGGCAGCTGCGCTGTACAAAGCCATGTTGCAAGCTCGCAAAACGGAGGAAGAGCGAGCAGCTGGTGCAGGAGCGGAAGCGATGATGGCAGCTGCGACGGAGAGGTCGGAGGAGTACGAAGGCTTGGCAGAAAGCTTCGCGAAGAGATTACTGCAGCACCTCACGCAAGAGTTCAACGAGCAGACCAACATCATCCTCGGAGACCCTACTCGGCGAGCAGCACTCTCTCCGCCGAATCCTACGCTTCGTAACCATGCTCAAGTGGAGGACACATTGGGCAGGTATTGTGGACTACTGCTCTACGCTAAAGAGGTCACTTCTGCACAATTCTCCAGGATCTCTGCAGGCTACTTCGCGAGTGCCAGCGAAAGGTACAGGAGAGAGATGGTGCAGCTCTTCACTGTCTGGAAAGAGCAGATGCGCACGCCCAGCGAGGAGGAGGAGGCGGATTCGACCTTCTCATCGCCCGCGTCTGTCACTACTGCTGCTGCCCTTAGGAGCGGTACCATCAGGCGCGCAGGCAAGGATAGAGGTAGAGGAACACATACGATGGGCGATACTAACGCAGCAGAGGTAAGTGGCGTGCGTGCGCGAGCCTTTGGGTGGATGTGACTTTGCTCACATTTCCTGCTTGCAGGCCTTTGCAAGACTTCTGCATTCGGTCATGCCTCTGATCGCCAAGGAGGAAGCTTTCATCTCTGATCTGCTGCACATCAACGACAACGCAGTCACCTTCGCAGACTATATGGACCTCGAGCCTTACTTTAGGCGCAGAGCTGCGGCTGTCTTCGGTTCTGAGACATTGCAAGGGTCCGCTCCTCTCAGAGAGATGAAGAGCGCTTTGGAACTCATCTTTGGCTTCTTGGCGCCGGAGTGGCAAGCATTCGCAGACCTTGCAATGCAGCGCGATCGCTTGTGAGTCGGGTCCGCTGCTGCGTAGTGTACTTCTTCGAATTCTCACCGTTTCCCAATGTTTCGCCTTGCAGACAACTCTTTGGGATCCTTGCTGCGCTCGATCGGGCGCTCATCGACGCTGAAGAAATGTCTAGCGAATTCTTGGTCCGTAGCCTTTCCAAGGTGCACATGCGTCTAGCTGGCCTTTTGGAAAGGTTCGTCGGCGAGCAAATCAGAGCGATTGAGCAGACAAAGCTTACCGTCAAGAAGCGCAAGGGAGTGGTGCACTTTATCAAGGTGTTCCCGGTCTTTGTGGAGAGGATCGAAGCTCAGCTTGTGAACGCCGAGACCCTCAACATACGCGCTGCTGTTGACGGGTACTATGAGCAGATTGCAAGGACCATGTTTGATGCGCTTCAAGCTATGGCGAAGATGGAAGGAGGGGGCGGCGGGGTCATGCCAGGAGGCGCTGCGGATGATGACAAGCAGGCTCTGAATCACCACGTCATCTTGATTGAGAATATGCACCATTTCGTCAAGGAAGCTTCTAGGGTTCGCAACTCTGCCCTCGGGCAGCTCATCAAGCGCGCTGAATCCATCTACGAGGATCATCAGCACGCTTACGTCAACGCTGTACTGCGCAGGCCGCTCGGCAAGGTCATGGTGAGTTGCTCGCGCACGTGTGAGTCCTTTGCTAGCAGCGCGGGTAGTACCTGACGCAGATTGCTTTATGTCGTAGGACTTTGGCGATGGTATCGACGCTCTACTGCGATCCACACCAGCCAACGAGGTCTCGCTTCACAGCGCCTTTTCGAGAAGTAATTTCAAACGACTAGTCAAAGAGAACAGCGCAAAAGACATTCGCAAGGCTATCGAAGCGTTGTCAAAGCGTGTGCAAAAGGTGAGCTTGGTGTGGGCGCTTCAAGTGCCTCTTGCAAGAACTTGCTCATCCCTGCATTCTTCCCGCCCGTAGCACTTTGGTCTGGACGACGACGATCTAGCTGGTCTGGCCCTTGCAGCAGCTGCTGGGAGTGCGGAGCCTGCCGTGGACGAAGCTGCAGAGGTGCTGACGAGGGTGTGGGGTGCATGCGAGGAAGCGTTTGTAAGGGAGACGGAGCGTCAAGCTAGAATAGCTCGAGACTGCTATGCGGGTGGAGTTTCGCTCGAGTATGGCGTAGACGACGTCAAGAAGCCCTTTGCCAACAATGTCCCAACTCCGATCGGACGGAGAAGATAGTCCAAACACTAGAGGAGCATGATCGAGGAGTTGAAGGATGCGCAGCCTCGCCTGCGGGGTCCTTCGACCTTTGGGCAGACTGGAAGTGCCTTGAGCAACTATTATGCTTCATCGGCAGCAAGCCATCACTTGGTGCACGTGTCTGGGTCACGTCTGCATGCACTCAATTTACATCGCTAGAATCCTTGCAATCAATCAGCCTGCATGCCATGTATATCCTTTTGATCAAGCTGAAACCTGCCCGGTGCTTGTATGCATTGTCGAGCACGAACAGTTGAGTCGGCAACGCCAGTTTCTTCGGGCTGGTCAATTCACCAGCGGTCTGAGTCTGAGTGGTGCCTTTGCACCAGGCGGCCGAGTGGCTGGCTGCCTATAGAGCTGCACTTGACGCTCATCAAAAGACTCGATCGTGACTTTGACTGCGCGGTGTACCATGCAGGAAACCGTTCTTCGCCAGATGTGGATCACGGCGATGACGGATGGATGCGAACGCGAACGTATCACGAAGCATTTCAACATGAGACGCACGCAGCCAGCTTAGTCACTGAGTTGCCCCTGCGGGTCTGCGGCTTTTGGAGACACAAAACGCAAGGTGATTGCAAGCCACGCAAGACAAGACATGATGATGTTCATGCTCTCTGACAGCAATCACAATCACAGTCACGAGTGACTCGGCAGCAGACTGCGAGCACTACTCAGTGACCTCAGTTCTGCGCCGCCATCCGCGGCGAGTCATTCTCGTCCGACCACCTCAAAGGGCCCGAGCAGTCATCGAGGCAGGCAGTCACTCACTCACGACTGCATTTGATGACTAGATGCAGACATCAG